TGTGTGTCTAAAGCCCCATTTTATAACATGGCTTACTTACAAATTGAACATATTGAATTATATTACAGGAAAAGTTGTGTAACACGCTACACTGGAGCACCAACACCTTTTGGTAAAAGCCCGATATCTAAGGTTAATTGTATTTCCTAGCAGCAACATTTCCTAGCAAAAACAGTTCCAGTATATTTCCAAATGTCAGCCCAATTATTTTGAGCACTATGTGAAACAAGGAAATTCCAGGATAACAAAAAGAGGATTTGGACATTCCCTTGATATAGTGACCTTCTGGCATGGATCTTATCATAGTCACCCAGAAGCCTTTCCAGAAACAAATCTGGCTTATCAGCACCATTCTACAGTGTCCCCTAATTTGATTTAAATAGAGGGACTAAAAGGAAGCCGATCAGAGTATTCTATTTCTACAAGTCTATAGCTAATTGTTCCACAATAAAGGAAATAACTGTATTGCTTTATGTACGAAATACAAAGAAGCTAAAGTTTGTTCTACTCTTTTCAAAAAAAAAAATGATGGCAAAGGTTTAGTAGCAAGGCCAAGATACTATTCACGTTTCAATAATGCTTTATGGTTCTCAAAGTACTTATCTCGAGTTAGTTCTACACTAGCCACTGTGAAAACCTGAGTTCAAATACAGCCTCAGGCACTTCCTAGCACTGTGATCATAAGCAAAGTGGGAAAGTCACTTAATTTCAGTTTGCCTCAGTTTCCATCTGTAAAATGGGGATAATAATAGCACCTACTTCCAAGGATTGTTGGCAGGACCAAAGCAGATCTTTACAAATCAACGACTGGTCTGCAATATACTATCTTACAGAGCTGTCTGAGAGCCCTGAAAAGTTAAGTGACTTCCCAAGGGTCACAAAGCATGAAGGTGTCAGATGTGAGGCTTACTCCTTGACTCCCAGGCTAGCTACATTACTCTGCCTCTCCTGTTTTGTGTAAATACATTATAGATATGCATTTATATGTGTATGTGTCCACAAATATATAAATGCTAGGCGGCATAACGGATAGAGCACTGGCCCAAGAGTCAGTAAGACTCCAGTTCAAATTGGGCCTCAGACACTTCTTACTAGCTGTATGACCCTGGGCAAATCACTTAACATTATTGTTTGCCTCAGTTTCCTCATAGGTAAAATGGGGGGGTAATAAGAACACCTACCTTACAAGGTTGGGAGGATCAAAGGAGATAATATTTGTAAAATGATTTGCAAATATTAAAGTGCTATATAAATGATACTAATTATTATGTTTAAATTCCTTCTCTAAAGCCCTATTTGGCAACTCCTATCATAGTAAGTAGGTGACCCCAGGTTCACAGAAGACTATGCCAGCAGAAGGGCAGGGGTGGCAGGTTTCGCTAAGTCAGAAAGGCTTTGAGCAAGGGATTACATCTGTCATCAGAGGGTGAATTTAGCTAAATTACAGAAGAATTACCACCGGAAGGTTGGCCACCAGGTGTCAACTTTTTGTCTCTCATTAAGCAACTCAGGAAGATTGACTACCTAAATAGTACAAAGAAGAAAACGATTTGAGTGGGTGGAGATACTGCCTGCACAGGTAATAGCTAAAATTTATAGAGTGGCTTTAAGGTTTGATATATTACCTCAGGATTTAAGAAAATTACTTAACTATGCTTAGTTACGTCAGACTGTGAGATCCTTGAGGGTAGGGGCTGTCTTTTGCCTTTCTTTGTATCCCCAGTAAATAATACAGTGCCTGGCACACAGGAGGCACTAATAAATGCTCCTTGACAAATGAATGGCTGCTTAAATTTAACTGAAAATGAGCCAAACCAAATATTCTGAGTCACTCGTGAAATCCCTATTGCTTCTAACCTTCCCATCCCTTTAATTTAATCCTCATCCACGGGTTAAGCTGTATTAAAAAATACATTCGCCGGGGGAAGTAAAGCTTTGACCACCTTTCAAAGACTCCCAGTTCCGAGCAGCTTAACCTCGGTCTCACCCAAAACTTTGACAGAAGCTTACCTGGCTCTACCCTGACACCTCTCAGACTCCCTTGCGGCCTCTCACTAGTTGCAAGGCACCTACAATTTTGCTGGCCCGAAATCCCCCCCCCCCCCCCCCCCCCCCCCAGTGGGGGGTTTATTCCCCCTGCAGACAAGCATCATTCCTCTTACCATAGCATTGTAACCCAAGGCATTCATGAAATGAGCCACCTCGGCGCCCTTGTAGACGGTGAACCACACAGTTCCCTGGTACTGGTCCCCGGCATCCAGTAGCAGCACGTTGGGCTCGGCTCGGCGGATCTCCTGGACCTTGGTGTACAAGCGCGCCACGCCGCCCACGCACTTCGGAACGACCAAGCATTTGCCAGAGTCATCGCTGGTCTGCTCCAGCCGGCTGTGCAGGTCATTGGTGTGCAGGATGGTGAGCTTCCAGGAGCTCACTCCGGTCCACGGGAGTGCGTGCAGAAACAGCAGCGGCAGCAGCCCGGGCAGCGCGGACCACGAGCGTCGCGCAAGCCAAGTGGGGCTCACGGCTTTGGCTCTCGCTCTCGGGAATCCCGGGACTCTGCACATCCCGGCCAGGCTCTGGAGGTGCTCACTTCTGCGCGCTGTCCTCTGCCGCCCCGGGAGGAATCCAGGGCAGCCCTAAGACTTCAGGGGTGTTGGAGAAGAAGCTACAAGCTCTCCTTCTCCTCCTCCTCTTCTCCCACTAGGGACCCGGGGAGAGGGAGGAGCACCGCCCCCAATCCCCGGCCTGGCCCGGGACAAAACGCACACACTCCCTTTCTCCACCTGGCTCCGCCCGCCCACTGGAGCTAAGCAGAGCCCGAAGCTGGGCCGTACGCCCGGCGCGGGGTTGTCCTGTACCCTGGGCAGGTTCCAACTGGGGAAAGTTTGCTCCCTGCCCAGAGCCTCTGCGGGCGGAAAGAAGGTGGAGAGAAGGAAGCAGGAGAGCCCCCGGGCTCAAACTTAAAACTGGTACACTCTCCTCTACTTTCTTTGAATGATTCCGTGTGTGGGTGTGCACATGGGTGTGGGCGTTGGAGAGAAGGGAATGGAGGGGAGCCTCTTTACAAGCGCATCCCATTCCTGGCGGCATTTCTTTCCGCCTGACAGTTCGCTTGTTTCCTCCTTGACAGCTGGGGTTAAGTTTGTGTAGATGCAATACTCGCGAAAAGCCGCGCTAGCGTGTCGTTGGCAGAGAGGAGACAGATCTGTTACTGCCATCTGTGCTTTCGCTAAGCACCGAGGGGTCGAATGGTATTTATATATTTTTTGGTCACGATGTGTATCTCCCAGCTGGCAAAATGAACAGAGAGAGCAATGGGAACCCGGTTCAGGCCAAGCCAAAACCCCACATCTGCCGCCCTTGGCTTCCAGCCATTCAGTACTATTGTGTACACTTCTGAGCAACCATGGAACTCCTGAAGGCAGCTCTGTGAAGTTGACCCTGACTGGGGCAAGTCACTCAATCTCTCTCAGCCTCAGTATCCTCATTTGCAAAATAGGAGTAATAAAGCAGCCCTTACTGTACCTGTTAGATTTGCTGTGAGGAGTAAATGAAGTAATATAGCATAAAGTACTCTGTAAACTTTATTATGATTACCGTCATAGTCGTAGTCATTATCATCATTATCTTTTGAACACTTCTGGGGTCAATCCAGGAGAACAATGACTCACTACCACACAATAATAAGGAATGTCATGCTGCCATTCATATATTTGTTTGCCTCAGGGTGGATTCTAATCTGATAGGGAGCCACTACTGAAAATGTAATGTAGCGCTAATGGAAGTGGACAAGTAAGTGAGAAACAAGTAATTGCTTGAACCCAAGCTGAGATAGACTTAGCTGAGGTTCAGTCAACCACAATTCCAAAGGACTCATGATGAAACATACTACTCACCCTCAGATAGCTGATGAACTCAGTGCAGATTGAAGCATATTTTCTTTTCTCCTTTTCCCTCTCTTCCTTTCTTCCTTCCTTCCTTCCTTCCTTTCTCTCTTCCTTCCTTCTTTCCTTCCTTCCTTCCATTCTTCCTTCCTCCCTTCCTTCCATTTTGCTAGACTATACACATTTGTAACCTGTTTTTCTTGCCTTCTCAATAGGAAGGAGACTGAAAATTTAAAAAGACTGAATTTTGAAAATAAAAAATATTTAGTCACCATTAGAAATTTCCAAGAGCTTTTTTTGCCTGGTTTTCAGAGTCATTCCATTTCTATGGAGAAACAGGAAGCTGAAAGGTTGATTAAAGGGGTTAAGGCCCCAGTGAATTCTTCAAGCTTTAAGGTCAGTCAGGTTTCCTTGGCATGTAATTTTCTGGTCAATAAAGTATTTTTAATAAAGTGATTCATTAAGTGCCAGTATTGTGTTTTGGTATTTTGGAAAGGAGACAGAAATATACACGCACTCTGTCCTAAAGGCGCTTGTTCTCTAGTAAAGGAAACAAAATTAAGTTGCTGGAAATTGTTAAAGAACAATTAAACATGAAATATTAGGGCCCTAGGCTGGCCTCCTCACACATTGAATTCCTGTCATTAGAGGTCTGCAATCAGAGGCTAGAATAACCAGCTGGTGAGAATATTGTAGAGCTTATTATAAACTTGTATTATAGAGCTTGTTATAAAATATTTTAATAACTTTATTTCAATAAATTAGTTTCCTTTTTAATTTTATATATTTTACATTATACATTTAAAAACATTATTCTAAGATCTTCCTTTTTTTCCCTGTGAGACTATCCCTAATTTATCCTGTATATATTTTGTTTTTACAGAATTGTTTGCATGTTTTCTCCTCCATCAGAACGTGAACTCTTTGAAAACGGGGATTGTCTTTTACCTTTCTGTATATCCCCAGTGCTTAGTACAGTGCCCGGTGCCTAATAAATACCTCTTGACTAACTAAGAAGCAATCCTTGACACACAAAATGGTAATCTTTAGAGGTCATGGTGCTTCTAGAGGGGATGCTTCAGGTATGCATAGATGTAGAGCTGGAGAGGACTTAAAGGTCTCCTTTTATAGACTAGGAAACATAGGCACAGAGAATTGAAGTGACTTGTCCAAGGTCTCACAGGTAGTAAATGGTAAAACCAGGATTAGAAGCAGTGTCCTATTACTACAAATTCAGCTCTTTCCACTGCACCAGACTCTTTCACAGTTGTAAGATTAAGATTCTATTTGACAATAGAAGTTCAGAGGAAGAAAAGATCAGTTCCAACTAGGATAGTGAGGGAAAGTTTCTTGGAAGAGGTATAATTTGAGATGGGCCCCAAAGTCAGGGACCTTAAGAGCTGAATGACCTTTATTAGAATAATTCATATTTATATAGCATTTTACATAGAGCTTTTCATGCACAGTTGGTACAAACTTCTCAGAATGTTAGTGCTTGGGGGCAACTAGGTGGTGCAGTGGATAGAGCACCGGCCCTGAAGTCAAGAGGACCTGAGTTCAAATCTGGCCTCAGACCAAACACTTGACACTTACTAGCTGTGTGACCCTGGGCAAGTCACTTAACCCCAATTGCCTAAAAATAAAAAATAAATAAATAAATAGAATGTTAGTGCTTGGAGAATTAAAAAATTTAAGTGACTTCCCTAGGGTCATATAGCTACTCAGTATTAGGGCAGTGGATAGAGCACTGGGCTTGGAGTCAGGAAGACTCATCTTCCTGAGTTCAAATCTGGCCTCTGACATCTACTAGCTTCAGGACCATGGGCAAGTCACTTTACCCTTTTTGCCTCAGTTTCCTCATCTGTCAATGAGCTGGAGAAGGAAAATGGCAAACCACTCTAGTATCTTTGCCAAGAAAACCTTAAATGGGGTCATGAAGAGTTGGACATAACTGGAACAAGAACAAATCAGAGACATGACTTAGACTCAGTTTTCCTAATGGGAAGGTCACCTCAGCATGTACTCTTTCAAGCTACCTTTTCAGGGCTAGGGCTAGAAATCAAAGGACATAAGTGAGATAATCAATCCCTTTTCTCAACGAGTTTACATTCTGCTGGAAGATTTTTCACGGGTAAATACAGTGTGTGTGTGTGTGTGTGTGTGTGTGTGTGTAATACACCATGATTCATCAGGACAGAGGAGAATCAGAAAAGACATGAAGGGAACTGATTCTTAAAGGTAACAAGGGATTCCAATGAAGTGAAGAGGAAGAACATTTTAAGCAAAGGGGACATGATCTAAGCCTATGGCTGGATGTTCGTCATGGAGCACCGCTAAGGATTAAGTAACTTATTTTACATTTATCAAAGCCTAGAATCATCTGAAAAGCCTTTCAGTTGAACACCTGGTATATGAGAATGAGCCTTTATATATATTCTAAAACCCCTTAACCCTGAGATTCCTTCTAGCACCGCTCCCCACCCCAAACCCTCACACTGTAATTCTGTGAAAAGTGGGAAAGATATTGAACTAGAAATCAGAAGATCTAGCTAGGTTCTGGTCCTAGCGTTGCCATGTTCTTTGGCCCGGACTCTGCCCAAAGGAAATGTAAATTTTAATCCTGAAACTTTTTTTTGTTTCTGTTTTTTCCCTTAAAGACCAGTCTTAACCCTAAATCACTCTGGTCCCAGAGCAATCCCTGCTTGGTCACTGTTTGGGCCCTGATTGGCTCAGAATGAACGTAAAGAACAATTGTTTCTGTTTTGGCCAGAAACTCTGAGGATCTTCCCCTCCCAGAGCTATTTTTTTTAAGAGGTCATTCTTTGCATCATTTTTTATTAAGCTTTAATCACTGAATGGGTGCTGCCTCAGTTAAACTGAGACCTATTAAAGACCTTAGCTTGTGATTTGATATTTTTTTATTCTGAATTTCACAAACATACCAAAAGGACACTCCCACATATAAAGTAGAGCATAATATCCACCCCAAAGAACAAATGAACCTTTTTTGAAGGAGAAAATACAAGTTAACAATCACTTGAAAAATTGCTTACATTCTCTAACATTCAGAGAAGTCAAGACATTACCTTATAGCCATCAAAAATGCAAAAAAAACAAAAACAAAAAAACACCCCCAAAACCCCAAACCCCCAAACAAACCAATCAAAAAATCTAAGAATAATCAAATTCAGTATTGGCAGGGCCATGAGGAAAGACCTTAACTTGAAAAGACCAAGGTCTCCCACTGCATCCTGGGCCATCTCCAGTCATTCTGAACCATATCTGGCCCGTGGACCCAGATGGCTCCCGAGGAGAAAGTGAGGCAGGTGACTTTGCATAGCCCTCCCTCACTTAAATCCTATTCACTTGCATGTCATGACATCACCTCTCTGATGTCATAGTCTTCTTCAAGGATGAAGGACAAATAGTGGCAAGTCATTTAACCACTCTGAGCATCAATTTCCTCATCTATAAAATGGAGATTGTGGAGGAGGTAGCTTGTGAGTTTGGGGGAAACATTCTCCCTATAAAAATGTAACTTTAGAAATCAAAGAAATAGAGTTATGATTTTCAGTAAATAGATAAAATAAATACCCCTAGGCTAGCAAGAACTGGGAGGAGGAGCCTTATTGATTTCTGTCTTGATGATGGCCCCCACTACCTTAGAGATTTCCTGCTCAGGATAGCTGATAAGATTAACTACAAAGAAAACATCCCCACTGCTACAAACCCAATCTTTGGCAACCCTGGAGATTCTAAGGTTGTCTGTCATATTCTCCCCTAGGTCACCTGACATCTTATCCCTATTCCAAATAAGGAAAATGGCTGAGCAGCCTCAC